TTTCATCTAAATAATATAGTTATGCGTAAAGTCAAGATAATTCTTATCAAGTATGGGATTTAATTAATAACTCTAGGTTTTTGCTACTAAATTCTACTAAATTTCAAATTAGTAGTTAGTCAAGTCTTTTTTAAATGAGCAAAAATCAAAGTTTTGCATTGATTTTATAATAATCAGTTACTGATTTATCAATAAAAGGAGCTATATTCGATTAAATTTCTGGAACAATTTATTAAGAATTTTAAATAATGATAAATAAAAAGATCAACTTTTATACTTATAAATCTGACTTAATTATTATTCTAACTAATGATCAAATTTAAATATATTTAACTGAATTAATAACTAGCTACCCACCTAAAATAAATATTAAGTTTTTATTAAACATTTAAATTCAACAAAGTTCTACATTACCATATATTGATTTGATATAATTATGTAACAATTATGTATTTGTCTTTTAAGATAAATTCTTTTTGATTGATATGATCTAGCAAACATATAAGAATATTTAGATTCTAATCAATTTAAGTGAAATTGTGAAGATTAGAGCGTTAGATGAAAACAATCAACAAATCCTAATTTAAGATAAAGCAAGATTAGCTTTATATGACTTAGCAAAAAACATTTAGATAGGTGATCAGATGTAATAAGTGAATGATTTTGAAATAACTAATTTTAACACTAGCATTATAAATGTACTAGTACTATATAGTAATAGTACTTTAATAATTTATCAATTCACTAATGAATAATAACAATTTAAAATAATTTCTACTTAACTATTAATCTAATAAAATTTGTAAAAAATAATTTTACTAAATTAATAATAAAATGATAATTATTCAAAAAATATTGAAAATTAAAAAATAGCTCTACTTGGATTCTCAATTCAAATATTAGAAATTGATCTTTCTAAATAATAATATAATTCTTATTTAATAGCAAACTATAAAAAGAATCTTCCATTTGTTACAGCGCAAACAGTAAAGATTGCTATTTTATATTAATTTATGTAATTAATTACGTGTCATATAAACGGAGACATCGCTTTTTATGACATTTCTTCAGGTTAATACTCTGAAATATTTCTTATAATAAATAATCCTAATTCTTCTTGTATAGATATGTTTTCTTTTTTAGATTAATAAATTGTTATCCATATGTCTGATAGAATACTTTTCTTTTCAGGATTAGATTGGAATATTATAAATTAAATAGATACTTCTAACAATAAAAACGTATTTATCCAAAATAATAACGATAAAATTATTATAATATAAGACTAATGCATAACAATATTAAATGTTTAATTAAGCTAAATTTTTAAGGAATGTGAGTAATCTTTTCTAAATTAATACTAATCTATTATCTTTCTTTCGAATTTAGATCTTTACATTTAACAAAAATCAGAAATAATTTACTAAAAATTTAATATCAACCAATAATAGTATGAAAATAGAAGTTTTTATTTTGACCTAGGCAATTCTGAAATTCTTTATTTTACTTATTTTAAACTTTTATCAAACTAATATTATGAACAATAAAACTATTTTGGTATTGATAAATTATTAATTTTTGATTAAAATAATAATATTTATCTACTTACCAATCAATTGAAAGTCGTATTTGTATTTAAAAATGTGATACTTAGTACAATATAGTAAATCATTAGTACTTATAATAAAGACTTGTATTATGTAGCAGGCTATAATACTCAAAATCCCCCAAATGCAGTGATATACATTCTTGTTATTGGACAATCAGAACCTATATTATAACCATGTTTTACAAATTCTCCATTTTTGGGAGACACATTTGTTAAAGTTAATTAAAATGGAGATGTATATTAATATTATGAAAATATAAATTAATTGAGTTACCTTACTGTTTACTATTAAAGGACAATTAATTTAAATAAAATGAACATTTTATACACCAGATTATAATACATAATAATTGATAATGAAACAATCCGCTAAAAATTTGAAAGAGGTTCTTCTCAGAATTCTATTTCATATTCTGGAACAGTAAGTGGAGCTTTGGTATCTAAAAGCTAATCAATAACAAATTATGATACCTTAAATATAAAACAATCTTTTAAAGATTCATCTGATTTGATAGTCGAACTTAAATCAAGTATTTATATCGGAGTATATCTAATACGGACGAATTAGTAAGTTTCAATTTACGATCTCTATTCCAATCAATTTTTAGAAATACTTAAGCTTCATGATTAAGTTTAACCATTTACAAAATGTGATTTTATTGAAAAAATATATTCAATAATCTGCTTTAACAATAAACAAATTTTATTAAGAAATTTTTTTTTATCAAATTAAAAATTGGAGTTTGAATCTGATTTTAATATAAATGGATACGTATATGATACTAAAATGAATTCAATCTATGTCTATGGAGATAAAATTTTGGAGTTAAATTCTAATTTATAATAGCTTACAGTAATCTTATATTAGTAGGATACTACACAAATCCAGAATTGCTAACAAACCTAAAATATGCTAATTTGTATTAATTCTTAAAAATATCTCATTTTAATTAATAAAATTAATTTTTATTAGTATCATACCATTTAAATTATAGGCTTTTAAAATAACATCTATCTCCTTATAGATGAGTAGTATTAAAGAATAATTTTATTTAACGAAATATGCTTGATATATAATTTTAATGGTGAAATATTAAATAA